CGGTTGCCATGAGCACCAGCGCAGAACAGTGACAAAGAGGACACGGGTAAAAATCCAATAAAATAACACGGGTAAATTTAATAAAATTACAGAAAATGAGTTATTAAAAACTCCCCACAGACAACCCAAGATCTCTTGGCAGAATTTTTCAATAGCACATCATTCCCTACACTGTGAAAAATGATCAATCATACTGGCGACACGCATTCTTTTAATATCAGCTTTATCGTCCAGAAGCAAAAGGATTACGGAGCTCAAAAAATGCAATTTCGCTCCTAATCTGGCTGCTTTTTATTACACAGGTCAACAGAAGCTTAGCAAAAAAAGGACTAATTACAGAAAATTACCCCATTAACAGATTAGCATTAATTAGTTGTCATCGACCAATTTATTTTGGTTATCCTTGCTAAAAGCACATATTTCCCTGAGAAGGAGAACATCAAAGAGAGAACCCAAGAGGTAAATTTCTCAAATAATTAAGTCTACATTAAAACACAAAAGAAATCTAAATGTTTTCTCCTTTCGGGCCCATGGTTCACTACCTCTTAAGTGAGAAACAATAACTATTGTGCCAGACCACATCAGAAGCTTGGAACCAGATCCAATGGACCCAGTAGCTCCTGTTAATTCCAGTTGACTAAGTTAATTGATGCAACACAATAACCCAATAATGATTAGCACTGCAACAGTACAAAGTTTCGATTTCCATCGTCAAACTCGGCTCCTGCTCTGGATTAAATCAGCAGCACCCAGTTGTCATCTTCAGGTCTCATAAAATCTCTCATATTGACCATACTCGAGGAATTAATTATTCAGACTGGAGCCAGTGAAATCTTGATCAATACTATCAATTTGAACTGAACAATCTCTTGCTTTTGAAGGTACTCCTCATCCTATTCCTTTCCAGACTCTCAGACAAACATCCAGGCTTAAGCTCTCGAGTGCTATGGCACCATTAGAATAACACGGATATTTCCTGCAATCCTGCAGAGGAAATCTAAAAAAATTCCCCACTCTCTCAACATTGTTCAGCAATCAATAAGAATTTGTATTCACTGAGGTGCTGAATCTCTCAAAACGGTTAAACCATATAATTTTCCTACTAATTTCATTTCAAAGTATTTCACATTATCACTGTTATATTACTATCACCCCTTTGGGCTATTAAAAAGCATCACATGCATGCCGTAACCAAATAGAACATATTGTTATTTCATCATTTTTGATTTTCATGAATGATAATGTGTTATGAGGGATAGATGCGATTAAAAGTCCATTAGATGGAGAAATTATCTCAATGCACTTCACATTTGCAGCATTAGCCCACTATTAACTGTACAATGGCTTCAATAAATACCTTTTCATTTGTTTTGCTATTTTAGCTCCCTAAATCCAGGCAAGTAAAAATCAAAGGCATACAACAGTCTCCCAAATTTAAAACAAATCATGTAGCATGGTAAAAGATCACACCCCGCAGAAATAAAAAATAGCAACCAACACAAATTAACAACTCTCAACTGACAGAGGGAAATTTTGTTTGACACACTGTCTGGTTCTCAGTGAGAGACTTTCCACAAATTGAAGCAAAGCATGGAGAGAGGAGAAAATGCCAAGATACAAGGAGAGAGCTCTCCCTCTAAATCTTGCCCTGCTCATCAGGCAGAAAATGACAAGGTGAGCTATGGAGCCCGCCATCCAGGAGCCGAGGCAGACAAGCACACATCACACACACACAGCCAAATAGACACAGGGCAGCTCATGTTACACTAACCCACTCACCACACACCTCAAACAACTCCATGTTTCAGATACTTTCATCATACCTTGCATCTTTAATGAAAGAGGAAGTCTGCAGGCGAGCTGGGTTGTTGTATATTTTCCCTTTACCTATTTATATGCATTGTCAACATACTTCAGGCTTAATGATTGGTAGTGGGGAGTCAGGGGAGCCTCTCAAGCATTAAGTGCAGCATTCTAGCAGGCAGCTAGAAAAATGCTGCCAAAAATGCTAGAATGGCACATATATTATATATATGCATATGTACTGAATGGAATGCTAGAATGGTATTCTGATTCACTAAACCTGAACTGCGAGTTATGTTTTTACATTCTGATAATGGTTATGTTTTTACATTCTGATAATGGGAATGTCATTGCCTTATCGTGAGTACATATTTGGCCTCACACAGTTGAAGGACTTGTCTGTAATCAAAAAAATGATTTTTTTAAAAAAAGAAGGAAAACGTACGTGGAAAAAAAACAAAACTGTGAGAAATGTGTTACGAAAAAAGTTCCCAAGATTTGATACGACCTCCCAACAACAAAAATATGCTGGGAACTTTGCCTTGCTGGCTGCTTGACTTCCACTGCTTGAAAAGGCTTCAAGGTGAGAAAAAATAATAATCGCTAAATCTGCTAAGGCGCAATCATTTTATCATCAATAATTCCCATATCTCATTAACTGCAGTTGCTGAAGGTAAAACACATCATATGTTCCATGGTATTAATAGGACTGAATGCAAAACGTTACTTCAGGAGATACATACAGGAGTTTTCATTTCGTTATCCTGGAGGTGACTGACAGGCTGCCCCTGGGCCATGTTGAACCTACTCCATCAACTCATGCGCAGCTGTCCATCATTTCTATTCTCTTCTGGGACAGCAAGGCGCCAGACCGACTTATTACAGCCTTGTCTTAGCATACTGGCCATTAATTAAGATTAGAATGACATTCTCCAGTTGAATAGATTTTCTCTGGAAAACTCCAAGCTCGTCATGTCCGATTGGGTAATGACGCCTAAGAAAAGGCACACAATCTGATGTTTTGATATGAGAGCGAAGGTCTGATTGTCATTTGTGTTTCCCTCATTTGAACAGTTGTGATTGTGAGGTCTCCAGAGACTGAGGGAATATAGCACGAAGACTTTCATCAGCGCTATCTCGGTGTACATCTCATCTTCTGAGTGAATGGCGGCGGGGACAGAAGACAAAGGCTTTGATCATCTTTGATCGAGTGGATAATGAAGTGTCAATCACAAGGCGACAAAGCTCACAAGGGATCAAAAAATTCATAGAGCGCAGTCGCTGTATTCAGCATATGGCAAAATGAGATAGTTCAAATGAGATAACTCTCTGGTAATTTGTTTGGAGATTTCCTCTGTGTCCCATATTAGCCATAGTTCTTTTCACAGCCATGCCTGTGGACATATACTGCATACCCAAGTAATAATACAGTGGAGACAGTTTTGAATTCTTAAACACAGCAAAGATTTGAGTCTTGAGCTGAATAATTTCTATAAAAATGTAACATCTGATTATCATCATTCGATCTGCATCTTAAAACACCTCACAACACTTGCCACTGAGATAACCCAATTCACACCTGTAATCTTAATTCATCTTAATTTATAAGGCGCTGATCCAGGGCACTCGCAGGCATTAATGTCTCCAAAAACCCATTATGACTAATTCATATTTCATGCAGAATACGATAAGCTTTTAAATCAAAAGAAAATAGAAATCTTAAACAAAGGGCTGGAAATTACTGCAGAAGCCCTATCAGACAAATATTAAACCTTTAATCAGATGTGACAATTAACAGAATATCAACCTATCTTCAAAGTACACTTATGTCATTAGGGGTATTATGCAGTTAAAGTTACGGTTTTCTAATAAATCTTTTCAAACACAGATGAAATATAACTGTGTATGTCTCTTGACTTGTTCTCAGGCTATACAGTCATAAATCTTGAGATCTACCATAATCTTGAATATTATTGACATATTCATGGCCATTTTATCGGCAGCAGGACATCAATAATAGCCATAGGAACTATTAAACATGCTATGCTAGACCAATAATATATTCTTGGGAATCACTAACAGGTTCTTTCATGTGTTGTTAAGAAGGTTTTGGAGCAAAACAGCAGCTGGTGTTTTAAAATTTTAATTAACCTGATCCTTCTTAAAACTATGTATACTTAAATCACTGTCATCAGTTGCTTTTATAAATCACCAAATGAACTGGTCTTAAGTTCTTTACGTGATTGATAACGCTAGGAAAAATCTCTCCAGGGCCCAGACATTTTAGTGACTACATGTTGTGAATTTATGAAGGACCTTTCACACTCAATTTAAGACAACTTGAAATATATGGGGTTTACTGCTGGCTGGGGTAGTATCCTGCTCTCTGCTGTTACTCACTTATACCAATATGTACCTCTTATTATTCACCAGGTTCATTACAATCAGTGAACAAATAAAGGAGAGGCTTAAACATTTTCTTCGACAATAGTTGACAAAAGCAATAAGGAGCACAGAGCCGGAAAAATTATGAATAACTTTCAACACTCCAGATGCTCAGTTTCATACACATACAAACAGAAGACCCCCTTCATCAATACATCTGCCGCGGACGGGTACAACACAATACAATAACATTCACAAATCCATAGGTGAAATAATTACACAAAGTATTATAATATCACAGCAGGGTGGATTTCTCTAGGACCCGTACACAGTTTTCTCTGTGATAGCCATCAGCCTGGTCAATGGCATCACTGGGTTAAGATCAACAAAGGTATGAAGTTTGAATGAGTCAGGGCATAATAAAACTACGCTTTGAATTGGGGAAAGCCATAAAAGTTGTCCGTCAGTATGGCGCCTGCTGGGTCGGGTACTCAGGTGGAGCATACGTAAGTAAATGAATGGAGCCTCCATCCAGGTTGACTTGACTTGGGGCAGAGGGCTGGGGATAGTGACAGACTAACTAGGCAATAGCTGTCTAACTTGTACCAAGCCATACACACTCCACTCATTTCACCTGCCATTTCCTGGCTAATCCAATCACTGGTTAACACTTCAAGCCGTGACATAAAATAAATGCTCTCACTGCTGGAATTCCAGGGCAGGCAGCAAAAGGTTCTGTATTCCAGAAGTGAGCGAGTGCCTTGTGTAATAACTTGAATTGAGAATATATATATTTATAACTATGTACTTACCTTTTGAGCTTTACATATAGCCCCTAGTGCTTGGACATCGTGGTTGACATGCTGGCCGTCCTGCATACATAGACAGCACAGGGGAACTTTACAAATCAAACAGTACATGCTAATATTCTCATCCCCGTGATCTGAACATTTGACGTCTTTGATGCTTATGCTTTTATTTTTGGCCCTCATGGTGTCTTTACCCGCACTGGGGGCTACCAGGTTATGTTTGGCCAGGGGACCCCTAGCCGGGTGACAGTGCTCGCGACAACTGTCACAGTAAAACACCTCGCACTGCTCGCACATCACCGAGGCCTCTTTGGGGTCCTTTTCGCACAACTGACATCGAACCACCATACTTTTTTCCGCTCGTGTATTTCTCAACTATAACCTCCAGAACTTTGTTTTTTGGTAAACTGTTCGCACCATTTTCATCCAAGTAAACTGTTTTTTTACACGCTGGACAACAGATACCGATAGAACTCCCCTGTATTGCTTGTGTGATGATGTTACTGACATTTGGGGTTCCGACATAACTATTTGGTCGGCTATTACACACGACTCCACTGTCCGTTTCGCTGAGTATCGACACTTTGTCAATATCAGGGAAGTCGTACTCAGGTAATCCAACCGTCGTTGATGTCGTCGCTCCCTCCTCGGAACTGGCCGGCGCCGGGACAAATTGCTGAACTGGAGCTTGGATACTCAGAGCACACCCTAAACAAAGAGAATGTGAGCAAGGAAGCAAGACTGGCTTGGTGAAGTTACGACAGCACACAGAACACTTCAGTTCCCCATCCATCTTTGCTCCCCAAGCACCCTCTGAACGCTCCACTATTAACAGCCTCGTTTTTGTTTGGATTGTTGAATCTCGCGGTGACCGCTAGGTGGCATGAGTGTGCTTATTTGATGGTTTTAACTGCAGGGGCTGGGGAGATGAAAACATATTGAAAACGTGGCCCTATTTCCTTTTTGAATGAGACAACTGGAACTTAACATTTTTCGCTTGTTCATTAAAGTCGATGCAAATTGGCTGAGTTTTTAAAGAAAGAAGCAAAAGCGTCGGGTATGTTTTGCAGTTGATTTGACGTCCCACAGCTGGCCAACAGCCTCCAAGGGAAGTTTTCTTATGAATTTAGTAAAAAGAGACTGACTGCCAATGAGATATTCCAAAAGGGGGCATTGGCCCATTCTTAACGTTCTTAACGGAACAAAAAAGAAAGAAATTCCAGAAAATTCTGAACCATATGTAGGCCTATTGTGCCTATAACGCGCACTTTTCGAGGATAAGTTTGTCAGGCAAGATAGCTCCGAAATCGTATTACATCATTATAGACTACGGACAAGCCTAATACGTGTGTCTAGCTGTACGAGGAAGGAAACAGGAATATCTCTTATTTCACATGAAATTTCAAAATCGCCATTTTAAAGTATTCACAATAATTACAATGCCCATCTAATTGTAGTATTCGTTGCAGCTAAACATGAAAAAGAATTCTGGTAAGTGGTGGCGTTAAACGACAGCAAAACCAACAAACAGTCAGTATAATCGCAACAGGACCTGTTCATCTAATTTTCAACTACCTTTGACGAAAATGAAATATCTTAAACCAATCTGCCAGGCATTTTCAAACTGATTTCCCGTCATTGCTATAGAGGGCTTACCTTTATAACGTAGCATGAATAAGGGTATTATTTTATTCACACGTAGGCCTATGATGTACGCGCATCAATTTTTCAGACGTCAGATTTTCAATCAATGCAACTCATAGTTTGGGACGAAAAATCTAATTTCAGGGTAATTTAAATAGATAACCGACGAAACTCCGCCAGCCTAGTTAATGAAGCGACGCTCATAGGGTGCCACTTAGTCTTCGCCTGGGGTCAGAACAAATTAGAAAAGTAAATTCAATTTAAGTTAATTTTGATTAACTAAGGAGGTTACAACTGTCATGATACTTAATGTTGTTATTCTTTGCCATAGGCGTTTGCTACATAAAACATGCCTAATCCTGCTACACAGAAAACTGCAGCTAAGGTTACCATACGAGCAGAGTATCGTTTCGCTTAGAAGTGCTTGATAGATGTACTGCCAGTTGTCATTGCGTTAGAGAAGCTGCAAAGAAAACGCAATCAATGCTCTCCGCTAAGACATTTGCGCCTTTCTCTCCACTTTACTACTCTCTGACCACAGGTGCGCTATTAAAATTTTGTATCTATCATACTTAAAATTTTGTATGCTAATTCAGAATCCCCTGAAATCAAAGGGTACCGCTTTATCACTTGGTTAGAAGGATGTAAATAAAGTCATTGACTGAATGGCATAGTCTTTTTCTTTTTTAGAATTCACTTGGTTTTTAACTTCAATTTTGTTCACGATTTTTCATTTGTGGATTTATAACCGGAGAGTGATAGACCACTAAATCCGATGACAGGGTTCATACGCAAAATCAAAAGGGGAGTGTTAGCGTGTTTTTCTAGAAGGCGTTAGGGATAGTTTTACTAGCATCCACGTCATTGCCACTATAATTATCTTGTCTTTTAAGATTAAATTCTACATACTCAGTAGAGGACTTAGAAACAGGAAGGTAAATATATAAGTATGGGATCTAATTATTCAAAACAGGCCTATAAATTACTGAAAGATTGCGGGAAAATGTTAATTAATTGCACCAAAGAAGACTTGAGTTTAAAATATCTTAGAAACGGTAGTTCCTATCACCAGTATGCCTCTGCGGCTTCCAGTAACTGAAATATTTGAAATTCATGACGCCTAGATCCACGTGGGTCGAATATACTGTAAAATGCAATTCCGGTCGGAAACTTTACAGCTGACTGTATGACGTTACCTCCGGAAAATCCCACAACCTAGGACGAGGAAATTATTTCATTGTCAATTTCCACTCAATTATTGTCAATTAAGTCATAAATGTGGGTGATTTTGTATTTATGAACATAAATACAGAGCATATGACAATACTGAGTCAGTATAACAAATGTAAGGCCTAAATATATAGAGGCATTCATTTTAACATTTCTTGGATGAGTTTTTTATATAACGGGGAAGACAGAAGAAAAAGACAGGATAAACCCGGATCAGTTAACCAACTATATATATTTTTTTCATTTCAGTGCATATTCACTAAAAGAAGCACACCATTTGCTGTTTTTCAAATCACCAGAGTCGTGGCACGATGTTGTTTGCACTATTGTTCGTGGTGTTGTTGGGGTGCGCCGTGGGCAAGAAGACACACGATGACAATATGACAGATGCATCATATGGGTGCATTGACGGAAAACTACAAGGTACATGTATGTTTGAGGAGTGATTTTCAAAATCACTGTTGTCTTTATTTCATTCCGGGTAGAGCTATTAGTCTGTACTATTTGTCTCTATATTGCTAAACGTGCTGTCTAACATTTTAATGTTCTCACAAAACAGGGAATTATATCGTAGATGTAATTCCCTGCACAAAATAACCATATGCTGTAAAGTTAATAACTTACACCACTCTAGAACTCCCTATCCTTTTACTTATTTGATTCCTCTTTAGTTATTACCTGTTATTAGTGAAAGCTTAATGGTTATTTTGTGATTCACTTCGCGGCGAGTATGGTATGGGACCATCCTTTTGACATCGGCAAAACTCCACTTCCTTTGCTGTTCGAAGATTAGCGTACGTAGGGAGAAAAGTGGAGAACCTCGAAATGTAGGGTGTAAGGCGCACGCCGCGTACAACCCTCTACTTTTATTTTCACGACAAAATATGAATAAATAACAAAAAGGTAAAAACAACATCTCACTGCACAGAAAAAGTTAAACATTTTAACAACGTAAAATCATATTTGATATTATAATCTATACCTTTATTTGGTATCATTTGGTATTACTACAAAGTTTTGGTATTACTACCTCATCTTTCAGAATGCAATCCAGTACCGCAGTGTGCCGAAGAAACCAAATTCGCCTGTCTCTTTGACTGCAAGTGTGGAGATCAAGCCGTCTGCAAGTAGGTAGAAATAAACAGGGGTTGATCTTATCGCCATAACTTGGATTCTGGCTCTTCTCCATTCAAACGGGTATACATATTGAAGGTCAAAACGTTGAAACGCTCTGAATCGTTTGAACTCAATAGTAGTTTTTATACATTAAAACTGTTAGATCTATTCTAGACACAAAATTTTGTAATCAATGTTAACCAAAAATTAACCCCGATCTTATTGCCTTTTTCACCTCATCATCATCATCATCACCGATTCACCATTATCATTATTATCAGCTTTAGTTAACACTCAATTTTGCACTAAGATTGATTCTGCGTTCGCCGTCATTTCATATTTATTTTCGCTTTATATTCATACTTTCAGACTTGACTGTGATTGCCAACCCATGTGTGTTAGCGGTGACATGAAGACGTGCGGAGAGGCCACTTGCGACATCCCGGAACCAGATTTCGAGCCTTAAGTAGCGTCTGCCTTTCAAAGGAAACAATTTAATTAAGATCGAGACATTGTCCTTTTTTATGGTGATTATAATAAAATGACACTTATTTTGACGAAATGTTTTGTGTGTTTGACTGTCTTAAAACAATATTTTTTGCAGCAAATTATCTTTACATTGCGCTCAACAAGTATTTTACTTATTTATGAGATAGAGCGTGGGCTATTTTAGTTTAAATTAAAAATTTAAAAATTTAATTTTTTTTAATTGAAATTTAAATGCGCAATATCATCAGGACTTCATTAATTTCTAGCCGGGATGCAGGAGTGTACCCTAAATAACCAATTTACTATCAATCACATGACGACGGGGTGCTCTTTTATCAGGAAGTTTCATCACACAACAATTCATTAACGATGATGTTCTTCAAATCCTGCATAATGGTCATCAAAGGCGAAATAGCAGGGGCCTTATGCAATACTCTTACTCACTTACTTAATGTTAAAACAAAAATAAAATAAATAAATAAATGAATAAAAATACATAAAACAAAAATTAAAAAGAAAAATATTTAAAACAAAAATCAATAACAAAGAACATCTTCAAAGTCATTCTTATTTTAAAGTATTATGATAAGGAAAGAACATGCGAAACAGTTCTTTTATTCAAATTTTTCAGACCATTGGAACATAGAGACTACAGCCTACTGAACCCCAAAACTTGGGATATTATACTGTAGAGACTTGAAAATGGACACATTTCTTACAAAAAAAAAAAAAAAAATTTGCCTTTGCCCGTGAGATGGAAAATGTGGGTTGGAGAAGAGTAGGTTAATTCTGAATTTAGAAATGTCATCTACACAAAACCATTGGGATTTTTAACTTTGCTTTTGTTTTTATAAATATTATGTGTCGCAAAACATCAAAAACTACCTTCTGTGTCTTGCATTTATTACGTTACACAAAGGAATTCCACCATGAAAATTATCGTATTGAAGAGAGAGTAGTGGTATTCCGTATTTGAATTCATTTTAACTTTATGAAAATGTTTACTTAGTACAAAGTTTAAGAGTAGTCATACATGTATACTTAATAGCAGCGTGAACACCCTTACCCCTCAATGATTTTTGTTTCCTAGAAATCATGAAAAATAATAAGGAAACTGTTTACATAACTGCTACATTTGGATTTTCATTACCAAATTTAATAAACTGAACAGTAATAATAAATGATACAATCAGATGGTACTACCACTGAATGCTTTGGGTTGCATGCTTTGGGTCCATTTTAAAAAGATATGTCAATAATAAATGACACAATCTTGATGTCAAAGCTGATTTCCTTAAGATCTCAGTGGTTGTGTCCACATAATTATTTTGGGCTAGAGAATATGAATGCTTTGGGTTGCAC